TATCAGATATTATCAGTATCATTATGATGTTCGCCACATTATATAAATAATGTTTATAGCTATGTGAATAATGGCTATTGAATACACATTGGCTATGGCATAACTGAATAGTGTTTATGGCTACGATTTGGTGGTTAAAAAATTGACTTGGGGAAGTTGTTTTTTGATGCTCAATTGGGATATCTGAAATATCTCTATACCTCCTTTAAAAAAAACAAAAATAAACCATTAACCCTCACGTTATCATTCTGAATTGATCTTAGGTATATCAAATTATTGTGTGTTCTGTTTCTTGGGGTGTAAACAAAAGTAAATGTGGCAATTGTTTGTCGTTGTTTTTCACCACAGTAACTATTTCTAACTTGGGAATTATGGATGAGTAGTGCCTTTATCATTAGTGTCTATATCATTTGATGTGTACATCACTCTAAATCAGAATGTTCTTCAGTGATGTGGTTCAACGAATGAGAATGAACTGCTACCAATGCCTTCCTTTCCAGTTCGTTATTTTGGACAGTTTACCAAAAATTGGTGATGACATTGTTTCAGAGGAGTGTCTACGCTTGGTGATCTTCTAACCGTTTAACCATGGCCACTGATCAGTCTCTGCAACTTGATCCAACTTGATCCAACTTGGCTGCTTCCAACCCATCCCCAACATCTCAAAATCAATGAATCCATGGCTGGAAAATCAGAGACAATCAGCTGACACTTCGATGATTTTCCAAGCTATTTACAGCACATTTCCTATTGCTATGATTCATTTCCGCTATAGTAGATTCATAGTCGCGCTGTGGCAACACCACCAGGTACGACTTGGACACACAGCAGCTGTTATACCAGGCCCGGAGCGAGCAAGGTGAAACCAACTGTGCATTTGGGGTGGTGACATAGTGACTAAATGGAGATATGTCCCCTACAACTATGGTTATATATCCACTTCAACCTGTAACTGCACCTACAAGTAGTAAATGGATGTAAATGGATAGTGGGATTCAGTGGGATATGGCTCTGAGTCGGGTATCAGTTTACATCCCCCTAAAGGTTCATTTTACAGGAGGCTCTGCAATTTCAATATATTTTACCTGTATTTGGGTTGAAAAGTGAGATGCGCCAGACGCTAAATACCAAACACGTCATTTGCTGGATGGGTAGTCAAAGACTTTATATCATAATTGACCATGAATGGGAGGATGAAATACGCCAGCAACCAAAATTAACCCTTTACAGGGTACCTAAGAATTCTCACGTGTTTTAACCATTCTAGTGGTGCTTTGTTGATGTTGATTCTGATTCAACCAGTATTTCACCGTCAGACACTTGGGATTTCACCGATTCACGAGGGTATCATCCGATTGAAAGGGTGAATGTGGACCGCCCGGAGGAACCCAATGCCAATAGTGTCGCGTGGAACACGGAGATGGAGGACGGCATGTTTCTCCACATGTTTTCCGGGGGAAAATTTGGAAGAAACCATGGGTTTCCAAAAGTCATAATTCTAAGATATTCTAAGGATGTCCTGAATGGAATTTGAATAAGAGGCTTGTTTACTTCAATGTTTACTTTGAACAGACACACAATATATAGCAGTGTGTCAAAACCTTGTACCCCTGGTGAACCCCAAAATAGCTGGTAAATGGATGTTCATCCCATTAAAAATGGTATTAATAGGTATTGATCCATACCCATATATATATATATTATAATACTTAAAATCGTAACACAAATCCACTGTAATGTAGTTTGTCTATATGTTTGGGAACATCGACCATGACGGCGGAAGTCGAACTTTACGGCACGGCGCGGTAAATTTATCATGACGTAAAGGATGAGCAAGGGGAACCATCCCTAAATACCCTCTGGTTATGTCAAAATAGCTATTGAAAATGGCCATTTATAGTGGATTTTCCCATTTAAAATGGTGATTTTCAATAGTTATGTTAAATTACCAGAGGGTAACCTGATTTCAGGCTGGTGAAACATGATATTATTGAACTATTTTTGATGTCCAATGTTGGGATGATGACATATGAATTTACGCAGGACCATTCCCCCAAAAACACACGATGTTTTCAAAGAGCCACTAGTGCACCAGCATTTTCGCACCAGTCAGGACATGTTGGCATACAGTGGGAGCAACATGCTGTGCATCAAGACGGGCAGTTTTCCACCGCACATGCAGAAGCTTCAAGGTGCGCCTATCACGGAGAGGTGGAAGCTTGGAGGTTGACTTACCCTCTGGTTGTTTAACAGTTTGCTATTGGAAATGGCTCATTTATATAGATGATTTACGAGGAATTACCTACTAAAAATGACGATTTTGCATAGCTATGTTGCTTACCGGAGGGTAAGAGGGGAACCACGTGTGAATCAAAAGGTGTGGGGGTTGAACCTGTGTGCCAACAAAAAGTAAGGACACATATAAATCATATAATACTGGTTGAAGGTCTTACCCTCTGTTAAATTAACATGACGACCCTGGCAGTCATCGGGGTTGGTTCAGATTTTCAACTAAGAAATGGTGATTTTCAGGGTCGAACTGTGAACATTTCCCAGAGGGTAAGTCAACTAACCAACTGATGTATACCCCAAATTCAGACACTCATACAATGACATATAAAAATCTGGTTGGTGGTTTGGAACATGGCTTTTATTGTTCCATATATTGGGAAGTTCGTAACCCCAACTGTTACTCACTCCATCATTTTTCAGAGGGGTAGGCTCAACTTCCCATTGACTTTCATATTTTTCAAGATGGTTAAGACATGTTAAGACCACCAACCAGTATAAAAAAGGTTTCTATTTGGAATATGTTTTTTTGTGGAAGTCCATGCATGATGGAATGTAATCCCAACCAGCTAAATTCCCATGAAGCCATGGAATCGTTCATGGTCATTTCTGCGGCACCATTTTCTGCATGAAATAATCAAAAGAAGACGCACGTGGCAGGCACGTTTGGCATGTTTGAATGACTCATTGGATTGGTTTAAGGGAACAATTTACAGGAAACCATGGTTTTTACAGTTTTTACCATTAAATATCGGGGTTTCCTATAAAATTGCCCCTAAACCAATCCATTGACAGCTTTGGACATCGAGGCCACGACCATCAGCGAAAACCGTCAACCACCAATCAGCGAAAACTGGTTTCTGTCATGCACAAAAAGTATGAAAAAGTCAAATGGTTCAGACCATTGATGTCCTTTTCCCATTGGTTGGTTGATGAAAAAAGAGGGGGTTCTTCAGGTTTACCCCTTTAACAACAGGTTTGTTTGATGATAGATGGGATTAACCAGCTCCCGGCCCAATTTCCTATTTTTACCAAAAGGACATTATTGGCTGCTATAGCATATTTACCATTTATAGTTGATTTACCCATTAAAAATGCTGGATCTTTCCAGTTCGTTATGGGACAATGATTTGTTCAGACAGCCGTCCCCGCCGTTCAGACAGGCTTTGTGGTGGGCTTCAAAGGATCTAAGATCTTTTGTTTGTCCCTTGGAAAAAAAAATCCTTGGAGTGATACAGTGGTTAGGAGGGAGCTAAGGAGTTATGGGTATTCATATTCCCTATATATTCCCTATTCAATGGGGAGCCAAGGAGCTACTTAGAGTTTCCGAACCATCAAATAGTTTGGAATGATACAGTCGGACCCGGAACCAGGCCAGTTGTGTATCTGTAAATGGCTTGCCTTCGCCATTTTGATGGGTAACATGGTCATAAACCAACGCGGATTTCTTAGGAATTGTTGGGTACAGTACCAAATTGGCAAACTCAAAGAGTTGTCCTATCCATGTGTATGTGATTATGTGTGGGTAGACCTTGACTTTAAGATGTTTAAGTAATTTTCAGCAAACATATGCCAAAAACGGAAGATATCAACATCTAAGGGACATTAAGGGACCATATTCATGCAAAGTGGGGCCGCCAGCCAAACGATATAGAGCTAAGTTGGTGCTTACAATAGCTCCAAAAACTTTGGGGTTTATGATACTTCTAGCTATACTTAATGGTTTATACTCTCAATACGTATAGCTTAGTTGGTTTAAGTATAATCATACCTATTTACAACAGTGGTTTATGATAACTATTATATAATTATGTTGCTGTGTTTTTAAAGTCAGCAACAAACATTTCACCGGAGGGCACCCACCTTGGTGATTGGCATATCTGGCATATCTTCTCACTTTTGGACAAAACCATGAAAAGTGAATTACTGATTATAGTGGGTTGGTTCTTTCATCTCAGAAAAGGCTGGAGTTCAATGACCTTTCCATCATTTTCCATCCCAATTTTGGGATCGCAAAAAAACACCCAAGTTGACTCTGGTCTTATCGTTGCAGGTTTTTGCGGGGAAAACTCAAAGTATATACCTCTTCAGAACAGGAGTTGGACACTGCTGGCCTTCATCTTTTGATCATTTTGATCTACTTATTTGAAGGATGGATGCTGAGTTGAATTTAATCTTTCTTTCAAATCCAAGTTGCTCCGCCTTAGTTTGTCCAACAAAAACGGGTTTGATGAAAACGCCTCGGTTAATCCACCAGAACGGGGAAATCTACGTAACTAGTAGGGTACACATCCAAGAAATACAAACAAAGTCTGGTGGTTTGGAACATGAATTTTATGACTTTCCATATATTGGGAAAAATCATCCCAACTGACTTTCATATTTTTCAGAGGGGTTGAAACCACCAACCAGAAGTGCAATTTTATTTGGGATTGTTTGATTTTGTACACTGGATGTGAATGTAGTTTGTTTGCACCCATGTAAACCCAGCAAAGAAAGCCATTCCGAATATCACGATAAATGGTTCGTAAAAACAATCATCAAATGATATAGGTTTATTCTGGAGTTTACCACATTCCCGGGTCTCACAAGACCAACTGAGCTACGTTTTTTTTTAAATACTGTTTGTAATCTAGCACAGTTGCCAATAGCATTCTGGATCTAAGATCACCTGCTTTTCGTTTCGCCGTCTGTTTCACTTTCTTTGGAAGATGGGCAGTCACGTTGACACCTCGTCGGAGGTTCCAAAGGTCGACACGGTGGCTGAAGCTCCGGATGCCACAAATGCGACGGCAAATAGCTCAAGGGCGCCGGGAACTGGAGAAGCCGTGCCCTATGGAGTGCCTGGAGCAACACCCACGCACTTGGAAGGTGTTGCATCTCCAAAAGCTTCGCCGAAGCCGTCCCCTAGACGTTGCGATTGGCCTCACCGCCTCGACGTCCACTTTGGACATTACCAATGAAAGTTTGCAGCAGGCCAAGAAGGAAATAGATGCTCTCTGCATTCAGTTAGGAGTGGACCAAGTGTCCGCCAAGTACTTCCTAACATCGATGCAACAGCACTCGACGTCCATGAACAATATCAGCTGGCAGGTGACTTGGGATTTGCAATATAAAAGGGTTTATATAGAGTGTAAACTGGATGTTGCTTTTGGTGTGGTTTTACCTGGCTGGCGTAAGGATTGCGTAGGATTGGCGTAGGCATTTTTCAAGGTTCCAAATATCTTCTGGTTTGCGTAGGCAACATTTCATTGTATTTCAAATGCTCGTACATGATCGGCGTTGGAATCTCACGCTTTAAAATTGATTCAATGTTATCCACAAAAGGTTCAAAGGCACCGGGTTCATTCATGGATAGTTGTCTATACGAACAAACCGTGGAACTTGCCCGGAAGAGCAGCTATACAAAGGCAGCGGAGCAGCTTAAACCGTCTTGATGTTCTTCGCTTTCCACCTGCTTGTTGCTAGATGGGCCATATTAGCTCTTGCTTAAGAGGAATGTTTCACCAGATTCCTGCCAGGAGGCCCCTGGAACAGGCGTAGGCTTCGCGTAGACTTCGCGTAGGCACCGCGTAGGCTCGGGTGCCCGGACTGACCACCAGCCCACGTCCGCACCAGTCCATATTCGACACATTGAACCGCCCAGAACTGCCCTTCACCAAGCTAGCGACAGTCGAACACGTCGCTTGGCTTGACTCCAGCATAGTCAAAAGTTACTAGCTGAGTCTGCAGTGATTTATCATGATTTATCCACCAGATGTTTAGTGTGCGCTTTGGGACCTGGTTGCTGGTGCGGCTGCTGCACATGGGTGTGGCTGCAAGATGTCTATGGGCGCTTTGGAGCCTGGGCGCTCGTGCTGCAAAAATGTGAATGGGACTGTGGTCGCGTAGGCAAAAGTTCCGTTTCCAACCTTCCAAAAGCAAACAGAAGTGTGACGGCGTAGGCAAAAACATACATTGTGGCGTCGCTTTATGCGGGCGTTGGGCCTGCGTAGGCACACCTTCAAAGGGATGAGCCGCGTAGGCTCCCACTGTGGCCGCGTAGGCATTGCGTAGACAGTGGCGTAGGCAGCACAGGAATAGACGGACCCAGACAACAAAAAAAAACACAGCTCAACTGATGTCACAGAAATACAAACAGATGGTGAGCCCTTTTAATCGTAGTCTGGTTGGTGGTTTGGAACATGAATTTTATGACTTTCCATATATTGGGAAAAATCATCCCAACTGACTTTCATATTATGTTTCAGAGGGGTAGGTATACCACCAACCAGTAGTTGTTGGTGCTTCATACACCCTTAATGAATCTGTATTGTTGGACCCCTCATCATAGGGTTTTTTATATTATTTTCCAGAGCCATGTCACAGAAATGTCTGGACGGGTGGAGGGCTCATCAGGTATGGTTTGTGTATGATATGGATGGTGTGGCAAAGGCTTCCATTGGTATGAAAAGTGTGCAGTGGGGGTGGGATACTTTGAAACATCCCAATGGGGATGTGTCTTGTCCAGCGCTGAACCCTAACCTTGGAAGCACCCTTTGCACGCCGGAACACGCCCACCCTCTTTTCGAAGCACTGCAAGCCGGGCTTTGGCTCCACGCCCACGTCAAAACGGCCAAAAAAACGTGACTTTGGAACTTGGCCCGCGCACGGCCTCCCAGTAATTGTCCATTAAACATTCCACCAACATCCCATTTATACCTCATTCCATTCCATTAATGTGGTTAAAACATGTTAAAACAATAATAAACCATCCCCAATTTCACCATAAATAGGTTCTGTAAACCATTCCCAAATGGGTGGTTTATTATTGTTTTACCAACATTACCCAGGATCTCCCAGTGCTTTCCCAGGCATTACATCTCCATGCAAACCATCGATGTGCCACAGAGCGCCTCTTTGTACAGATATATGGAGAAGAAGGACCAGCTCTTGGTGCGTCCATCAAGACTTGCTGGTGCTTGGTAGGGAATGGATGGGAATGGGGGAATGGGATCATTATTGATACTTATTGTGGATCATTCCCTCATTCCCTACTAAGCACAAGTAAGAAGAGCAGGAATTCACAACCTAACATAGGGGTGATAACCAACAGAATATGGGGGCAACCATCGGAAATATAAGGGACATTAAGAGACAGTGTGATATAAATGTGACTAAACGTGACTTATACCAGGGGACATTGGATTGGTAATACCATTTTATGGTGATTTCACCATCATTTACAGCGGTTTTGACCACCAACAAAGCCAGCGAATCGTAGTGGAAATCAACAATAGGGGATTGTAATCGTTGAATGGTTAGTTTAAGACTTCATCTGGTTGGTGGTTTGGAACATTTTATATTTTCCATAATATATGGGATAATCTTTCCCATTGGCTAATATTTTTCAGAGGGGTAGGTATACCACCTACCGTCATTTGTTTTGCTAAAGTGAGACTTCTTAGTAAAAAAATGCAGGATATTTGGCCGACTGGCCGACTGTCAAGGGGTCCCTTAATTTCATGGTGGGATGGGCTGCTGGGGTGATGACATCCCATTCAATTCGCTGCTGGGTGTCTGATAGAGAGTCCCAGTTTGTGGATCAGTGGATCATTTTTATGTATTTTTTTGAATTTACTGATATATCAACAATGATCAGTGTATCAGTATCCAACTGAATACCAACATATTCTTTTGTTAACTGGATATACCAACTTCAGTGGAATTTACATTATCTTGCTTGATACTGTGGATGGTTGCGAAATCCTGCACCAGTTGATAGATGGTAAACATCCCAGTATTTATAGGTTTTCGACCATCCTTTTGGTGGTGCAGGATTTCTTCCATCCACCGTATGTTAACTTCTGAAGTTGGTATATGATGGCAACTCAATCATTGTTACGATTTCTCACGGGCAACCGGATCATACAAGAAACAATCTTTGTAGTTGGTACATGCTGACGCTGTTGTTGTATCATGCTTCACCCGGCCAATTCCGTCGATGCGGTCGGCCTTCGAAGTAAGCACAATGGGCCATGGCCACTTGAGTGGTTTTTCAGAATCTTGAAGAATGTTACCCTCTTGTTATTTAACAGTTTGCCATGGTATAGATGGCCCATTTGTAGATGGTTTACCTATATATTAAGAATGGTGATTTTCCATGGCAAACTGTTAAATAACCAGATGGTAGATGGCTAAGCTTAGTTTTACAAATACACCTTCTACGCCCCCAAGATCTCCCAGTTGTGCCAATCGCATTCACCGCTTACTAAAATTGGGCCCAAAATGGCGATCTCAATGCCAAGGCCATAGGGTTCCAGGGTTTTGACCCTTCCGAGATCAAGGGAGTTGCACCACAGAACTTGCAGCTGTCGAACCGCAGCTTTGTTGCGGTTCACTGGACCTGCTGCTCAGAGTAGTGCCTTCACTGGAACACACATCTGGGTAAATTATAACGACCGAACCCTGTTCTCCCTCACTGGAAATCATGGTTAGTAAGGGGAATCATCCCAAAATGGCCCAACCATTCAGGTTGGTGAATTATTATAATTTACCCACACACATATATATATAAATAAACCCTAATTCCATATGACCACATATACCATCTGGTTATTTAACATAGCCATGGAAAATCACAATTTTTAATAGGTAGACCATCTATAAATGGGTCATTTTCCATGGCTATGTTAAATAACCAAAGGGTAACTCAGATAACCATACATATATGACGTGGTCACGTGCAGCTGTCGTACACGGCTAGACCTTGGTCACGTCACCTGGACACGTGGTGGTCGCCGCGAAGAGATAGCTAGTTTGCTGCCTCAAAAAACGTGGTTTCAGATAGTTTGTTGAACCAAAAAGCAACAACATTCAGACCCAAAATAAAAGCCACAACTACCGAAAGCATGCCATTTGGCCACTCAAAATTGATCAAAACGATCCAAAACTGTTTGTTTTGGATGAGCTAACATTTAAAATTCACTTGATCCCTTTCCCCTAATATCAAGTACCATCAAGAAAACCGTTGTTTAGTACTGGATCTGTTCATGAATTGGGGGTCCAGATGGGAGGTGTGTAATTTCAGGGACATATTATATCACCGTTATAGTCCCCTGGTTGGTGGTTTGGAACATTTTTTTTCCCATATTTTGGGAAGAATAATCCCAACTGACTCATATTTTTCAGAGGGGTAGGTATACCACCAACCAGTATTATATCACTGTTATAATCCCCAATGGTTGCTGATTAAATGCCTATTTGTCAAGGTTAAATCACGTTAAATCACATTTTCTGATGTTTTTTTTGGCCACATTAAGTGACATTAACCTTCATGTGCCATGGGATAACAGTTTGGTTAGATGATACTCATATTGGGGTATGGCCTACCCACCATTATATAATAGTTGTTTATTTACGTTTATTTTATTTAAGTAATTCCTAATGATAATGGGGACTTAGAGGATTTTTGCGTGGGATGAAGAGTGGGTGGTTGCGAAATCTTGCACCACCAAAAGGATGGTTGAAACTTTTGAAACCAACAATAGTGGGTGCAATAATGATGTTGGTAAATCCCATTCGTGTTTCAAAAATGCTATTTACCCTCTGGTAATTCAACAGTTTGCTATTGAAAATTGCCATTTATAGTGGATTTACCCATTGAAAATGGTGATTCTCCAGTTCGTTATGTGACAAATTACCAGAGGGTACCAACCAATCAACTGGTGATTTTTACCACCTATCAACTGGTGAGGATCATGGGATGAACTATGATGAACTCTGCAAAATTTGACGAGTGTGTCAACATCAAAATTGATGTCGGTTACCCTGGTTACCATGGTCACCTACAATGTGAGGTGCAAATAACTCCAATAACTATGGTTTATGGTACTTATAACTATAGTTACTGGGGCTTATAAACCAACTTATAACTGGGGGGCCTCACATTGTATGATAGACCATGTTTATATGAAGCCATAGATCCATAGGTTGTAATTCTGTAGTTACAATGATTATGAAGCCTAATGAACCCTAGTTAAAACCAACAATGCTAGTAGAAATCACCGTAGTCAACTATGTTAGAACCAACTATAGTTTATAGTAGATATATTGGTTATAAACCAGCATTGCCAACTTACAACTGTTTTTTTGTTCCAAGAAACTTTGTTAACTATTGATATATCTTTGAAATATCCCATGATAACCTTTAAAATATACCATAATATACCTATAAATGTCCTAAATGGAACACCTTACCATGGTTTTTGCCGATATGGAGGTGTCCAATCCATGAGGGTACCCCTAAATTCATCCAGCTCTGATCTCCACGAGGACTTTGAGACCGCCTACCGCGTGGCATGCCTCGGTGTCACGGAGGTGGCGGACCGTTTTTCGAACGGGAGGGGCCTCCGTTTAGTTCGGTTATCACAGGATATATCACAGAGATATGTGTATATAGTAGTTAATGATATCCATATAATATATATATACATGTTATATACATATATATATATATATGAACAAAAAACACCCAGTTGTAAGTTGGCAATGGTGGTTTATAGCCAGGTATAACCTACCATGAACTATGTGGTATAGCAATGTAACAAAATTAAAATAACTATTGTTAAACATAGAGTTTACCACTGTTATTTCTACTATAACATGAACTATAGTTGGCTATAACTAGGGCTCATAATCATTGCAACTATAGTTAACAACCTATGGCTTCATATCAAAGTCGATCATAGGTGACCATGGTAAACCATGTACAGCCTATGGTACCTGGTACGACTCGGCTCATGGCAAGACTATAGTGAGTTATACCCGAGTTCATCGAAGTTGATGCAAATCACTCCAAAAACTACAAGGTGGTGCCCCCCCCCAGTGATGTTTGTTGGTTTATAAACCATAGATAACTAGTTCGTTACATCCTCCATAAAGCCAAACGTGAAATTGGAGTTATGTTCAGCAAGTTAGCTAACGAACTGGGCACCACCTATAGTACAGATGGCGAAAGGTGGATTCCCCAACTATATGATGCTTCGACGAACCAACATTTTAGAGTTCGCTATCAGAGATATTGGTTTTGTTGAGGTTGATATCGGATATCAACGGATATTACCCTCTGGTAAACTAACGTAACTATGGAAAATCACCATTTTTAATGGGAAAATCCACTATAACTGGCCATTTTCAATAGCTATTTTGACATAACCAGAGGGTAGATGATTGTGACCATTTCATAGGGTTTTGGCCTGCATTTTTCATAGGGTTTTAACATCAACAATACGGGATTGTGATGGGAAGCATGGGAGGGTAATATCAAAAACACGGGATTGCCATTACTATTTTACCCTGGAAACATAGGGTGTGTCTAGACATTGGGTGTATCATTGTATACCCAAATTTCATAGCTTATAGAAATTGCCATTTGCGGAGAGAAGCAACTGATCCTTCCAGTCGTGACTGAAGTCAAAGGCCCAGGATCACAAGCAACTGCCAGCTGAAACTTGCGACCGGATTCTCGATGAAGGTCCAGCTAGATTCTTCTGCCTGGTATCCGGACGCAAAGATGAAAGGCCCTGTGTGGCGGCAAAAAAATATTCATCATCTTCGTCATCACCATCACCATTATCGAATCGCCATCGCTATCTTGATTTATCATGTTCTTCGGCTCTGAAACAGCCTTAATCACACAGGTTGCAACATGTGACAACAGGGTAAACCAACGGCTGAAAGGGGTACAGTAGAAATCCATAGCTTGTGTTGCTTCAAATGAGGAATATTTGATGCGGTCGTTTATGTGAGATGGGTGTGAGTAGAAAACTAGTCTTTGCACCATGGTTCCCTCTTTCAGGTGGTTTCAATACATCCAATTTTTGCACATGTTTGCTGGTATGTTCTTCATTTTTCTTGGTTGTGTTTCCACATGTTCTTGGTTCCATTCCAATAGCTTCTATTATATTATGTAGATTCTATGAGCTGTAGTGTATTGGTTAAAATGTCATCCCTGTTCAATTGACCAAATCCATGTGTTTTTGTTTTAAAAACCTAGTTGCTGCTGTTTTAATACCAATTTTGCTTAATTTTGCAACACCACGTGTCAAAACACTGCCGAAACAACGTTAAAACATTCACGCCATGCTGGTGATTGTGCAAAAAACATGTTGCTGTTCAGCAAGAAATTTAACTACTCAAATCCTCATTTTTTGCTGGACAAATTCATATGTTTTGCTGATCAAATTCAGAACTAAGGCGCTGCTTAAATCCTTAACTTAGCTTGTGAAATCCTTGTGTTGTTTGCTGATCAAATCCTCCATTTTCGCCGCTTCAAGTTCTGTCGATGTTTTGTTCCATATAATGTGGCAAAAACATTGGCATAAACAACCATTCCCAGGAAAATGGGTGGTTTATGGCATGGTAATACCGTTTTACCCACATATTTTTTCCGCATCCCGGCGTTCATGAGGCGGATTGGAGAGCCCTGGCGCTGGATGCCTTGCAAAGTTTACGCTTCGACATTGCGCGCAAGGTGTGGTGCTTCCACATCGGAGGTCAGGGAATAGGTTGATTCGCTTTCGGGCCTATATCATGATGTTGCAAGAATTTGATATATCACAATTGTGTTGCATAGATATCTTGATTATGACATTATCATGTATGATATCATTTATAGGAAAACATAGATTGTGATATATCCAATCTTACAAGAATCTATTTACATTATCACAATCTATGTTGTCCTTTATTGTTTATACATGATTATTGATGTAAACCATGTGTTGATGTTTTTCCTATAAATATTGTAGATGAATGTATAATTATACGTACTATATAGATCCTGATGTTCAATGATCTAAAACTCGTATCTTGGTCAGGGAACTACTTTTTAAACTTCAGAATGGTGGTTTGAAAGCTACCTGCTTGGTGGTTATATTTGGTTTCTATTGGTCAAAATCACTGGCATACCAGTCTACCACATATTACCTTCACATGTTTCTTTTCATTCATGCAAAGTAGGCCCCATAGACAGCTAAGTTTGTGACTCTAATAACCATGGCTTATGATATTTCTAATTTATAACTATAGTAATGGAGTTTATAAACCAACTTATAACTAGGGGGCCCCACTATGTATGATAAATCTGCTTCCCCGACCATAGAAACTGCAGAAATCTGCATCAATGAGTGGAATTGTTCATTTGAGGGTCCCAATCCGAAAGCGTTGTCATCATCAATAGGCCATACCAAGTCTTGCCACTTGCGGGTCATACCAGACTGTCAATGGGAATTCCAGGATCCTAAAATGGAGGTACTGTACCATATAAGGCAATGTTTTGGGGGTATATCCCCTTACATAGCCCTTACATAGGCCTTATATATGGTAGATACCTCCAATTTGGCTTTGTGAATTATCTAGTGGGTCAATCTTGGATGGATACTTGAGTATATTATGCAATTATGCTATCATATTTTTCTATAAATGAGTATATATATATATATAGATATAATGATATATATATATATATTTGTATCTACACATATATATATATAAACCAGCGCAGAAAGCAATTCTTTGCAGTGAATCTAAGGTTGTTGATTCTGTTTGTTGTTTATGCCATCATCCCATTATATATCATCAAAACTCCATGCCGTACATATCCCAATCAAAACTCCAGGCTTTCATCCGCATTCGAGACGTGAGGCGCGGTGGTTTCAGGAATCGCCGTATACCCTGGTGATACCCTCCGGTGTCATCAAACGTGGCAACGGAAACTCATCCATTTATGGATGATTTTGCATCAACACCTCCATGTGTACAATGTGAGGCCCCCGTTCGATAGCTAAATTGGTTTATAACTCCAATAACTATGGTTCATGGTACGCAAATAACTATAGTTACTGGGGCGAATCTAAACCAACTTAGCTATCTTGGGGGCCTCACATTGCAGGAATTATCATGGTTGACAATGGTAAATCATTCTTAATAGTGGTTACTAATCAGAATAATTGTTATTACTAATCATTGATTAGCCATTGTAATCCTGGTTGGTGCTTTTGACCCCTCTGAAAAATAAGAACGTCAGTTTGACTACCAGAGGGTTTTTGACTCCAACTATGGTCATCAAGTTCCATGAAAGATACCACCCCAATACGGTCGGGTTCCCAACAATCAAGGCCATGGTAAAGGGTGATTCACTGCCACTTGGGGGTGCATCCCTGTTAGTAGATGATTTACACTCCATATTATATATATAGTTCAGGTGATATTTCCATTCATCTAGCTCACATATACTAGGTCTATTACTTTCACCAAGCTTTAAGCCATATTTGTTGGAGCGAATCTTAAGGCATGATCATTGTTGCTTGGTGACCTTTAGCGCCCTCAAACTTTCATGATATAGACATCTCCACGGTAAATCCCAGCTGTGGTGAGTCTAGTTATAAAGCAACTTAACTATTCAAGGGGGTCCTTCCTGCACCATAGACCTCTAATGAAGAGAGGAATTCAAGTGTGGGAAACCAATCGCCATAAAACATATCCCGTTTACTTTATTTTACAATTTCGGAATGTTAAACGCCCCAACGAAACCTTGAAACATGTTTATTGTGTGGTTTATCAGTTTATCGCAAGACCAACATGGGGCCCCACACACACACATACACACATACACACTAGACAAGAAATGGATCATTGAAGTGATCCGTTGGGAACTGAATCCCACCACATGCAATTAGATTAGAACAATGACCTAAGGGAATACGATGCATGAATCAACTTTGTGAATAGCCAAGTAACTACGGACGTGACTAATTCCAGGATTAATTTTGAGCGACAAAACCGCAATTCGGGAACTATGTAACCGCATCTTGAGCATGTAATCAGTCCAATGATCACAAGAACCTCGCGCAAAAGAGCATGTTTTCACAGCTGGTGTTGCTCTCTCTCATGTATGTACCACAGTCAAAACTAGTTTCTGGTTGGTGGTTTGGAACATGAATTTTATAGCTTTCCATTCAGTAATGTCATAATCCCAACTGACTTTCACTCACTCCATCATGTTTCAGAGGGGTAGGTAGGTGGCTCAACCACCAATCAGATTTTTATTAATCATCATTAACCATATAATAACCATCATCATTAACCATATATTAACCATCATCATTAACCATATATTAACCATCATCATTAACCATATATGAACAGTATATTAACCATATATTAACAATCATTAGCCCATTTTTCCCATGATTTTCCCATAGTTTCCCATGTTTCTTTAACCAGCCCATATATTAACCTTTAAATTGCCCGTATTGGACCCAACGGAGGACCCTTACTGGACCCACTGGACCGGAATCGTCATGCATCATCTGCAAAAATCTGGCCATGTTCCATAGCTACGTTGAATCACCAGAGGGTAAATCCAGATGCCTACACTCCGGTGTCCTCTAAAATTGCCAGAAATTGCCATTATTTATAGGGATCATAGCTATTCATAGCTCATTTTCTCACTCAAATTGCCATACACTCCGGTGTCCTCAAACGTTTTTTGTACAGTTCGATGATGAATTGCCAACGACACTACTACGCTTTGGTCTAAGGGATTTCCCAGCCGCGTGTCATGTATATTCCAAAATGATCCTAGGTCCTATGATTTATCTAGGTAAATTATAACGACCTCACTGCGACCTCACTATAATCATGGTTAGTAAGGGGAATCATCCCCAAAAGGCCTTAATTCAGGTTAGTGAAATATTATAATTTACCCAGATTTATTCCTATCTACCCTCTGGTTATGACTAACATAGCCATGGTATAGATGGCCCATAGAAATAGATGGTTTACCTGGGTTTACCGAACTTAAATATGGTGATTTTCCATGGCTATGTTAAATAACCAGATGGTATATCCCATAATCATCCCATCAATGGCCATGCAACAGGAACCGATTGATTGGAGGTACCTACCATATCTAAGGCCTAGAAGAAAAGGCCTAAATTTCAGGGAATATCCCAACATATCCCAACAAAGTATGGCCTTATATATATATGCTACTAGCGTAGCTCCATTGATCCTGGAATTCCCATTGATTAATATTGATTATATAAATAGATCATTAAAAATCCAGATAGTATAATCCCTATAAATATATATATATATCAACTATGATGTTTTGAATGGCTCAAACCAACCTTTTCCCTGACCTCCCTTGATGTTGACATATCCCACACCCTTGGTATTTTGAATATCCTAATATATCCCAAGAAAAATATCTAAATCCATATATAAAATAACCCATATAATATGAATAATCCCTATAGAAATCTATCAACTATGGTATTTTGAATATCCAACTAGTTTTATTAATATGGGTATGGATCAATACCTATTAATACCATTTTTAGTGGGATGAACATCCATGAATCCCAGCTATTTTGATGTGAACTACAGGGGTACAAGGTTTTGACACACTGCCATATAATATTATATTAATCCTCTAATATTAATATATCCCAATAGTTATCCCAAGATATCCGACATCATCCGACCATCCCGCCATCCAAAACATCCCAGGTACATCGACCTGTTGAATCGGATCACTCAACAGTGCCCTTTTGAGGGGAGGACTTGGAGATTTATCACTGGGGCGATCTACTGGGTTCATTTATAGGTATTTCTTGGTATATTTATGGTTTATTTATTGTAGATTTATAGTATACTACCAATGATATGGATTAATATGGATTAATATGGATTAATACGGATTAATATGGATTAGTATGGCTTAATATGGATTAATATGGATTAATATGGATTATACAAGGCGGTGCCCCCCCAGTTATAAGTAAGTTGGTTTGTAAACATTTGTAAACCATAGGAATAGTATAGATATATCGACCATGGACCATAGATATTGGAGTTATTTGCACCAACTTTGCCAACGAACTGGGTCACCACCTTGTACTGGGTTTATTTAGGTATATTACCACAGGATGGGGCCTCCAGTCGATAGCGTTCAGTTGAGATATGGCAGTGGCTGAATTCTATGGTTTATGGTAGATATAACGAACTAGTTAACGGGGTTTTGAAACCAACCTATTAAAGATTTGGGATGAATGGGACATCACCTAGAAATAGAGGTTTTTTTTGGTTAATGGGCCAATGAAGTTTGTAAACCAACAAACATCACTGAGGGGACCATCCTCCAATGAACTAAATAAAGCCCGAAAGTAGATACTGGTAATCAACTTAATTAACGACAATGTGAGTCCCCCTAGATAGCTAAGTTGGTTTATAACTCCAATAATTATGGTTTATGGTACTTATAACTATAGTTACTGGAGCTTATAAACCAACTTATAACTGGGGGGCCTCACATTGTATGATTGATTACTCAAAGATTATTATAGAAACTAGGCTTATGAATTGTTGGCAGATATAGTAACCAACTGGGATGTACTTGGATGTGTGGACCACAGGTACGATCCGTGGGTAATAGCGGTAGTATATGCCAGCTAGATGAATGGAAATATCACTAGTTATTACCAACTGGGATGTACCAGTTATATATAACTAGTGATATTTCCATATATATATATAGATATATATAGATATGGGCGCTGCGCGTTTTCCGGGCCCCTAGGACAGCAGCAGGTTTGTAAATACCCTCTGGTAATTTAACATAGCTATTGAAAATGGCCAGTTATAGTGGATTTTCCCATTAAAAATGGTGATTTTCCATAGTTATGTTAGTTTACCAGAGGGTAGAAGTCATTGAAGACTCTTATGGTATTACATGCCTCAGACTGCAGATGATCGATGTTCAAAGCAGAGTGCACCTTTTGTTGTGATTTTACTACCCTCTGGTAAACTAACATAGCTATTGAAAATGGCCATTTATGCTGGATTTACCCATTGAAAATGGTGATTTTCAATAGTCATGTTAAATTACCCGAGGGTACCATCAAACAAGTAGAAAGCAACATGCCTATAAGAATGGCAATTATACATCCATACAGTCCATACACATATGCATATATAGATACTTATCTAGATATAGGGATGTATTGTGGAAGAACTGTTGGCTTCAAGTCTTGTGTGTATACGGTTCATACCCAAGCTTGCACATCAGGCAACAAGAAATTACAAGGACCTGAAAGCAAACCCGCCAAACAGCTGAGACAATTCAGTTTGGTAAAAATAAGCCAAAATACGGCATTTTTTTTTTGAAATATTTTATTGTATTGAACCAATGAATATCAGAGAGAAAATTCAATGTTGCCAGGTTGCGCCATGCTCAAATGATAGGGTTGTGTTTGCTTCTATGTTGCATGTTTTTATAGCAAGCGTGAACAAGAGGAAACAGCACTTTTGAGTGGCAGGGGATTTCATCTTGTCCCCAAGCAGTACTGCATCTTCCTGACAGAGTTCCCTGCATCATAAAGAGATATTCAGCAACACCAAAACGTAGGTTAGATCTGCAGTGGTCTTAGATTGGCAATGGTTTTTTTCAATCAAAAAGATGAAAATATATGAATAAAAATGAAAACATATGAATAAAAATGAAAAATATGAATAAAAATGAAAAAACATGAATAAAAATGAAAAGAATATGAAACAAAAAATGAAAAACAAATTGAAAAACATAAAATTAGATTAGAAAAGGACAATGGAACCATTTTTATTTGAAAAAAAAACATAGCAAAACAATGTCAAAAAATCTCAAAATATCTCAAAATTTCTCTAATGTTGTTTTTCAAACGTGGTTTTGTGAGACTGGGTTCTGTATTGCATATTTTTTTCTGGACCATAGAAAATCTCAAAAGAACTCAAAAAAATCAAAAAATCACAAAAAATCTCAAAAAAAACAAAAAAACTCAAAAAAATCTTTCAAATTTGCTGGAAAAAAAAACAAAAAAACAAGAAACAACTAAATAAACTAACGCAACCTTACAACAACTTTGCCGAGGCCAGCGGCAGAATTGCTGTCAACTGTCAGCTGTTATCATATTTCCTTGTGTTGTCAAATGTTGAGCTTCTAGGGTGAACGGATTTAAAACACATTTGCTTGTCACATGATGTATTGCTATGTATTGCTTGATAACCCCAGGGAGGTCCCACTGCAAATAAATTCAAATAAAGTCAAATAAATTCAGATACAATCAAATAAATGATTAAATATGGGGAAATGTGTCTTTAATTGAAAAAATATGTTGTAATATGATGCTGGTGGCCCAAAACCTTGTTGTGGGAACCCACCTTTTGGTTTCAATGAGATATGGAATGTTTTGCAAGGGTAAGCATGCCGTTACCTTAAAATATGTTGTGTTTTTCAACCCTAGCGCAGTATCAACTCAAATTTTAAGGGCAACAGCATGCTTCTTGTAAGCCATCAATTAAAATTAAAAGAATGTGGCATTCCTTGAGGAAATTGTGGCATACCTCCATGCAACATTCTTCTACAGAGAAGGCAACATTCTTGTGAGAAAGTGTATCATGACAGAGAGGGCAACATTTCTTTGAGAAAGTGTATCATGACAAAGAGGGCAACATTCCTTAGAAAGTGTATCATGACAGAGAAGGCAACATTCCTTTGAGAAAGTGTATCATTACTTTAAAGCAAGACCCTGTGATGTGCATAACATTCCTTTAATCCTTTAGAAGAAGTGCGTTATGTCTTGCATATATATATATTAATAAACATATGTCATTCCTTCCATAGAGGTAGTAGTCCTTTTTGAGACTGGTAGCATTTCTTCAAGATATTTGAAAATACATGAGTCACATGAGTGTTTTTCAAAAGTGCGGCATTCCTTTAAGACAGTACTTGATGGCTTCATAAAATATTGACTTAAACAATGGTGTTATGCAATATCCCTTCGGGAATGAAAACATATTTTATTCATTTTGAAAATATAATATCATGTTTTAAATAGCATAATTCACTGTATGATATTACTAGATATTTATATTATATATAATTATATATATTTAGAAACATGTATGCACAATATTCCTTTCAGAAAGTGTGTAGCATTCCTTTGAGAAAGTAGCCTTCAAGACACAAAGCAGTCCTTGTGAAAGAGTATGGCTGAGTGTGGTATTATTTAAATTCTTGTACAAAAGGGAACCCTTTCATTCATATATATATATATATACAACAATCCCGTTGAAAGAGGGGATGTTTCTGTAAGAAAGCACAATGCATGGAGTTGCCCATTGAAAAAGTATAGTATTCCTTGCAGAAAGTATAGCTTTTTTTTGAAGCGCATCAGACGGCATAGGCAAATCTGTGGCTGTGAATATGTAGCAGACTCCCTGGATGAAAAGTGTAGGCTGCAGAGTGAAGTTCCTGGTGAGCACTACAGGTCCAGAGGATGGAACTCACAGAAGAGGACTCCCTTTTACAGACAGCACGAGCTTTCACCTTCCTCACGATGCGAGGCATTGAACAGAGGGTAACCTTTGCGTACCTTCGTTTAGAAAGAAGAGGAAAAGCAGCAGAAGAACCCCCAAGCAGCGAGGAAGAAGGGGAGGATATACAAGTGATTACGAATCCATATAAACCAATTACCAACTGGGATGTGCCCCCCAAGTTGATCTACTTTCCGGGTATTACGGTATCATCCATATCATATACAATTACAAGTGGTTAATAAGCTATGCATAATCCATATCCCATCAGGCTGACTGGGAAAAAAAACCTGGGTAATCATGGGTATACCCTCTGGCAAACATACAAAAAGCTATTGAACATGGTCATTTAGTTCGTTGATTTACCCATTAAAAATGGTGGATCTTTCTATAGTTTTTCGTTAACGTTTACCACAGGGTAATTTTTTCAAACCATATGATTCAAAATCATGGGATTTTGGGCAAAGGACGAAATCACAAGGAGAAATGAAGGATTCAGCCTCTAGCAAACATACAAGGTGGGGCCCCCCAGTTATAAGATGGTTTATAGACCCCATTAACTATAGTTATAGGTACCATAAACCATAATTATTGGAGTTATAAACCAACTTAGCTATCTAGGGGGCCCCACTTTGTACAGACTTGACCATGCATGAGTACAACCACCATGGGTTGGGAATCCGTGTAGGTATGGTTTTATGTTCCTAGAACCGCACCCAGAAATAGATTCTCAAAGAAAGAACTCGGCCATTGGAAATCCACATGTTTAACTTCTAAACAGGAAAACAATCTATCCTGGTTAACTAACATAGAAAGGAAAACCCACCATTAATATCCATTAATGTATATATATATACATACATCATTTTCCTCAAAAGAAACCCTTGTTTTAGTCATATTGTTTTGTATGTTTACCGCAATCTATCCAGTTGGTTTCTCACTAGCATCCGGGGGGGTCGTTGTTTAAAAATTCAATTATAGCCGCATATTGCTCTCCAGTAAATTAACATAGACCCTGGCGGATAGGGGTTGGAAGGAAGATAAGTTTCAACTAACAAATTGCTATTCTGCTATTAGCAGGGTGGAACTGTTACCAGAGGGTATATAATTCCCATCGTAGATGTCCTTTTCCCTTTGGTTGGTTGATTGATAGAGGGGTTTGAAGAACCCCCTTTAAAAGGTTTGTTTTTTTGATAGATGGTATACCAAACCGGCCCCTCTATTTTTACCAAAAGGACATTATTGATGATTCCCATATAGATCCCACAAAGAAATAGCTCAACATCCATGGTCTTCACCAGCGAGTTCTCTCCAGGTATGGTCAGAAGACCAGCTTGACCCATGATGAGGAGATGCTGATCACAGCGCAGGCTGTGGGTAAACCGCCAGGGTTCGCCATGGCCGGGGTATTACCCGCTGGTAAACGTTAACATAACTATGGAAAGATCCACCATGTTTCATGGGAAAATCCACTATAAATGTTAGTTTACCAGGGTATTAGCTGATTTTATAAATAAATCTGGCAAAATTTGATCACGACCTCACTGCGACCTCACTATAATCATGGTTAATAAGGGGAATCATCCCCAAATGGCCTTAATTTAGGTCACACTACATTCTCAGACACTCACATTCATGGACGACATAATCAATGCGTCCGAGTTGACTCAGTCCCCTGATGTTTCTCAGGAGGCTTTTGTGATCAAGGTAAGGAACACTCTCGCTGCGTCTGCAAGAATATTTGAGGAGGAGAAGTATAAAATTGCGACTGCAATTTCCAAGTCCCTTAAGGGGATGCGCAAGTTTATTTTCTTGAACGAATTTGTGGTCGGAGCCGCAACTTGTCCCAGCTTCTGAAAATTGGCGGCCGAAGCAATTATGGCCCCACGGGGGTTTCGTGAAACGATGACGGACATGGAGGAAAAAATGATATAAATGTCGGGCCGCAATGACAAGATGCTAGGCCTTAATTCAGGTTAGTGAAATATTAATTTGCCTAGATAAATGGGATTTAATTGATTCAACTGATTGAACTCTATGTTTAACTAAACTAAAACAGAATTCGACACTGTTTTGTCTAATTCACTTAATCAACAAATAATGTTTTGATTTGTTTTAAACATCCAAATGGGAAATTAATCCCATGAAATATGGAACACACATGGGGAAACCAACTGTATGTGTCGTTTGGTCAATTTTTTGTTTTTCTTTAAGCATGTGATGCATAGTTTAAACCTAATCAACTGAAAAGCAAGCGTTTCCCTTTTTTCCGCGTATCTAAGTTTGGCTTTGGTTTAACCAACCCACAATGAGACTTAACTACCAAGACATGCGGGTTTTACCAAAGATAATCGGAATCTAATGGTCAATACAATATATGGACAGACTTTGGTTTGGGGTAGGTTTGGATGAGTTTTTTGGATGTTGTGTGCTATAAAGTTTGGAATATACTGGCCGGCTAGAAATTGAGAATTTGCAGGGTACCCAAGGTTGGCAATATACACAGCTGAATAGCTGGAGAAGCAGCAAATGCAGCTGTGCGAACCTTGCTGAACGGTAGCTCGAGAGTTCATCGTAATCAACACTCACTTGTTGTTGCCATCTCCAATTTACAACCACCTGGGTATGTCTGAAAATAGGGTGCCCACAATAGTTCATTGATCAACATTTGCCCGATGGAACACGGGCAATTTTTATTGGGATAACTGGTGATTTAAATAGGCATTTCCATCGTCTGAACATGATTGGTTTAATTTGATAAACATATTCAGGAATTAATTAGGGATTATGACGATCTGATTCAGGTATCAACATTTATTTATTTTCTACAATGTGAGGCCCCCAAGATAGCTAAGTTGGTTTATAACTCCAATAATTATGGTTTATGGTACTTATAACTATAGTTAATGGGGTTTATAAACCATCTTATAACTGGGGGGCCCCACCTTGTAGGATTATCCTGATATAAAATTTATGCACTCCCCATTAATATTCAAACACAGTTGATTGATTCCAGTAAAATGATGGGGGTTCATAATCAAATCATATCCCGCTATTTTTCATAAAATCCCAATGATGTCAGCGTAACCCATCCATATTTCTGGATGAATTATCATGACCTCCCATACATATTCCCATTAGATTCCCATTGACATCCCATTAGTATCCCATTAATATTCCATTAATATTCTATATCTTCCAGATTCTTCCCAAA